TACTTTCCTTATTGAGAAGAGTTACTTGCACGTTTTTTTTTTTTTTTGGTGAAACAAGAAAAATTATGATTCCCTAAAGGTACCACTTATAACTGCTGCCCAAAAACTTCGCTGTGTTTCACTTAACAAGCCAAAGTTATGTTACTTTCCTTATTGAGAAGAGTTACTTGCACGGTTTTTTTTTTGGTGAAACAAGAAAAATTATGATTCACAAAAGGTAGAGTACGCACAACACAACTTTTCATATTTGATGCCCTGCACTTGAGGTCATTTTCCCCTCCCGCAGTATGACTTGTATAAGAAAAAAAGTAAAAATATATTGTATACTTTAAAGAAATAAGATGGTTCATTGCAGAACCCTTCCAATAGAATTAACCTATAAGATTAGACCTCATGGTGTAATTTCTAAAACCTTAACGAGTTTTGTGAAAATATTCTTAAAATTAAAAAATTAACATAAAAGATTAGAGCATAGAATAGAAAGGACCTTATCCAAAGCTTGTGATCAGGCGAGGGGAAAATCCCAAGTTTAATCCACTGTGCTTTTATATTTTTGAATAAGATATAAAAATGATTATAAAAAATAAAAAAATAAAAAAAAGGTAAGAGAATAAGGTATAAAAATCACTCCAACAAAAAAATAAGAGGCAAAAAATAACTTTTGGTCCATGTGGTTTACGACTTTTACCCTTAAGGTCCATGTGGTTTCAATTTGGTCACTTCTGCTCATGTGGTTTTCAATTCTAAACAATTCGAGTACATTACCCAATTTTCGCTGATGCTTACTCAATAGCCAACGTCATTTGCGAAACCTTGCAGGGATGTTCAAAACCCGATGGACCTTAGCCATATTTGGTTCGAGATCCAACTTTTTGCTAATATCCCTCTCTATAAGCAGAAGATAGAAGTCAGTCAGCCACACATCAAAGAATTCAAATGAAATTAAAGCAGGTCAATAAACTATGACTCACCATGGCAGTAGGTTATGGGAATAAGTTCACCGTCGCCTACCTAGCCTTCCCACTTTCCGCTGACCTCCAGCACATCGGTGTTCCACACATGGTCTCCATGGCTGAGACAGTCAAACAGTTTGGCATTACTCACACGAAGTTGGACATACTTCTCACAGTGTCTCACCTTGAAGAAGTAAAAAATCTCCCGCACTATCAAGCTCAACTAAAAGAAGCAATTCAGGTTATCAAAGTAGATGATCGCCCGATAGACATTTGGGATACATTGGCTTGGGGCATACTCCATGGCACAAAATACCTTCCTAAAGAACGCCAACAGCGAAAATGTGTAGCCCAAGGAGAAGTAGAAGTGTTGGAAAGAGATAATCCTGACATCCGGGTTGTTTGGGTCCACCCGAGGCATATCATTAGTTGAAGATTCCGCCAACCTGATATGCATGTCATTGGGTGTGGCAGAAGCAAAGGTAGCGCGCCACTTCTGGAACTAAGTCTCGGATGTGATGCGATGCAAGTTTCTCTTCTAGAACACCTTGGAAACTCCCCATAAATATAAGGGCACTTGCGAGCCAGATGACCGACTACTCTCATCAGAAGACATGATGAGTGAAAAGCTTCAAAAAAGGAAGAAAATTTCAAGTCAAATAGCAAGTCAAAACCCTAATTGGTGGTAAAAAAAGAAAAAGGAGGAGACACGCGGCCCAAGTCGCAGCACCTAAGTAGGCTGCGACACAGCTCCAACAAAAAAAAAAGAAAAAAAAAAAGCAACTTCCACCAGCAAAAGCTGACAACAACTATGGCAGTAGCCTCCTCCCGCAACCTTGGCACAGTCAACATAGACTGGTCTCGCAATCAATTCAAGCATGCAAGCCAATTGGCTCGCGCATAAAAGAAATAAAGAAACAATGGAGCAGCCACAACTTCCTCCACCAGCAGCGGTAGCAACCATGACTGCTCAGCCACGAGTTCACAGCTGGCCTCATAGCACAGCCAGCTAGCGCAGTCACGACGGCAACCAGCCATTCTTCGCCGTTAACAAAAAAAAAATGCTATAGCGACCGATGTCCACCATGGTCGTTGCATCACGACGACAACCAGCCAAGCCACGCTAGCTAGTCCTCGCCGCGAAGAAAAATCAAAGAAGAAAAAAAAAGGCATGACCTATCTTGGTGTGCACGGCAACTCCTCTCCTCAATAAGCAGTACACTCCTCCAAGATCTCTCTCACAAACTAGAAAGTAGAGGAAGAGAAGTTTGCAATTTGAAGAGGAGTGAAGAGAAGCCTTGTATTTATGGTAGTTGGGTATACTTGACCTAGAAGGAATCACAAGCTTATTCCAACTGGGAGTCTAATTCTAATAAGAAGTCAAAAGCCTACTCCAATTAGGAGCCCAACTCACAAAGGAGCTCAACTCACAAAAGGAAGCCCAGATGCAGTTGGAAAGCCCAATAAATATTTCACATTTCCTCCATGCCTAATAAGGGCCATGCTGAAGCTGGGGGGCATTTGTGGCAACACATATTTCGACAGCCAATAAGAAGATGACATGTGAAAAAAAAGAATATTCCTTAGGTTAACTAATTACCCTAATTAAATCCTAGTTAATTAGGAAAGTACCTTTGATTTAAGAGAGGAATATCTCCCTAAATCAAGGAACCAATTTCCAGCAAATCTCTTTGACTAATTCCTATCATCTTTTTGAGTAAGAATAATCCTAATTAAATAAGGATTATTCTTCAAACCTTAGCCAAGCAAGGAGTCTATAAATACATGGCTACATAACACGCATGAGGTAATTCCAAAACCCTAGCTGAATCCCTCTCTCTTTCTCTCTCTCTCTCTCTCTCTCTCTCTCTCTCACGCCACACTCTTTCTTCTCTCTTTCACGGCTCCGGCCACCCTCACATATGGCTCCAACTACCTAGTTCTCTCGTATCGTAGAGAAAACTCCAACCTTTTATGTTATTTTTGTATCTTTCTCAAGATCATCTAACTAACTTAGGCATCGGAGGGCCTTTGGCCAACACCCCCCGAGTGTGGTCTATTTACTCCAACCTTTTTCACAAGAATCGAGGAATAAGAGAGAGAAGGAAGTTCAAAGGGTGAAGAATCTCTCGTAAATATTCTCCCATGAAAATTTTGCTCAAACATGGGTGTGAAGGTCAAATCCCTTGCCAATTCATTGAACACGTGCCCCTAAACTAAAATGGAAGATGGAAGATGGAAATTAGCAAGGGATTTGACCTTGTAGGGGTCTTTTTGTTCCAGCAACCTGACGAATGGGCTTGGGTTGTTGTAAGAGGAAGACAAACAGAATTCCCCAGTGCCTAAGTTCAAGAACCAGGCTCCCAAAAGAGTTTTGAAAGATTGGCTGAAACCTTAGAAAACACTTTTAGGTTCTTTTCACCAATAACCAGATGAACGTAATAAATTGATGTGTGACTTGGCTTGAGGAGCTTGTGGCATGGGAGCTAAGCCTTTACAAGTTTAGCAATTTGAGAGAGAGAGAGAGAGAGAGAGAGAGAGAGAGAGAGAGAGAGAGAGAGAGACAGGAGCGTGAACTTTTTATAGAGAGAAAAGGTTCAGAGTGGGGAAAAAGGAAAATTAGGAGGATTTCTATCTCAGAAAGGGAGAAAATAATGGAAGTAGAAGATAGGGTGTCTATAGTAAATTTCCAGTTGCTTGACAAAGCTTGGTCACGCTCTGGATGATGATCTTGTTGGGTAGAGAAAGCTCCTTTTATAGGCGCTTAGAACCCTAATTCTATCGATCCTCCATTCTCACTTTTCCTTTGCTTCTTTCCATTCACTTCTTTTGGTGAAATCTCTTCAACCAGAGCGCATGGGTCCCAGGCTCTTTGGAGTTCCAAGGTTTTTGTGCGGCTGGACCTCCCCATGGGGGTGAGGCGCCACTTGCTTTTTTTTATTGGTTTTCAAATTACAGCTCGCAGAGGAAAAGATAATGGATAGAGTCGTTTGTCCAATGAGTATTCCTCATGCGCATATGGATTTCCTTGGGTTCCTGCAATGGCTTCTCGTTGACTATTATGGAGCTTTGACAGGGGTGGAATACGATGCTAGATTTTTAACAAGGCACTGGGATGGGCTTTGTTTTCAGTATCGGGTTATTGGTACTCTCTTTCCAGTGGCCTTTTGGTTTCGTCAGGCTGCTAGAAGTAGTTTACTTGTTTCATTTTTCTTGACAAGGTGTTGGGTGCTTTAACGAATGTGGGTTTTTCCTAAGTGTTGCAGCAAACCATTAGATATTTTCCTAAGGCATTGGATCATTTTTCTCTCTCTCATGCTTACCCATGTGCTTGGGCCCAAGAGATGGGCTTGAGTTTTAGGGCTCCCAAGCGGCCCCAAAACTTTCATCCTTTGAACCCTCAATGGACCTTGTGAGTGCTCGTACCCGTCCATACCACAACCTTCTTAGCAAGCCCCAGATATTTACGTGGCTTGGGCCTACTTAAACTTTTAGCAGGGCTTGGCGTTAGGACAACAATCCTTTTATTTGGCATTGCGTATTCATTTAGCATGTTTGTGCTCGAGTGCTATTATACTGTAATAAGCTATGACCGGGCCAAATAGCATTTGATAGGTCAATAAGCATGAATCCATAGAGCCGGTGCATTTTGACCCTTTTGCATGGCAGGTGTGCGTATTTGCTTGGCGCAGCACGTGGCCCACAACTCGCACGGGTGCGTCTGACAAGTTCTCCTAGGCCCTAGTTGGGCTCCTCCTGTGGTTAAATATTTGTGCTGGGCTAGGAATAAGCCTGGGCTCAGCCTTTGGATTTTTGGGCCTCAACAGACTTTAATACCCCTCCAGCCCTAACTACAGTTAGACGAATTTGACGAAAATTGGGCAATGTCTTCGAATTGTTTGGAACTGAAAATCACAAGTTTCAAAAGTGGTAAAAGTAGTAAACCACAGGGACCAAAAGTGAATTTTTGCAACCAAAAAAAAAGTTTCAAAATCATGCCCCTAACACGTGACTACTAAGCTGTTTGTTTGTTTTTTTATTGGGTCTGAAATACTAAGCTGTTTGTTGAGTACGCCATTTTCCCAAACAGCAACCAAATAGACTGAGAGAGAGAGTTACCACAAGAGAGGCAGACAGAGATGGCGCTGAGAGCAGCCCTACTGCGGCACGTGCGAATTCCGGTACAAACCCTAAACCCAGCCCTAACCCTAACCGGAGGAAAATGGGGCCCACCTTCTCTCCGGTGGATGTCATCGCACGACGATCATCTCACCAAATCCGAGGTCACCGAGAGAGTCCTCTCTGTTGTCAAGAGCTTCCCCAAAGTCGATCCTTCCACGGTATGCCTTTTCCTACCTCTACCTTCTGTTTCTTTCCCAGGAAATGTAAAACATTATATCAGAATCTCAATCCTTGTTTTGATTTTTCCATCGTTTTTACCATTTTGTTCTTTGGTGAGCTTTAGTTAGTGTGCTATCAGTCTATTCCTTATTTGAACTTAATTTTTCTCATGGATTTTTGAAATAATTCAAGTTTGATTTGGGTTTCGAGGTTATAAAATAATGTCAACAGAAGAGAAAGAAAAATGAGATTTTGGATCAGTTATATTTTTTTTTGGTTCAATCTTAGTCCCTTTTTGGGCATTTTGTGGATATCAATGTCCAGATATCAATACAATGTAGAAATGCTGGTGTTGTTTTGTCCTGAATTCGTTGTTTTCTTTGTTTTCTTCATTCTCTGCCTCTATGGTAATGGGCTAAGTAACTTTTAATCATGCCGTATCGTTCTGTATGATGTTTAACCTTTAAATATGTTTAATGGGTCAGTTGGGCCTTTTAATTCTTATGATAAGAATCATGGGTAGAACTTGACCCTGCAAAATCAGCCTGCTAGGTAAGGCTTTCGAAAGAGTTCCTATTTAGCTGATGTGGGAAAACAACTTCTATAACTGATTTTTGGGGCATGTAATGCACATTATGCAGGGACTGTGATCCTTGATTATTGAAACTGGATGTTTTTGTATTTGTTCGATGCACTTGCACGCATTAGTAAAGTTTTGTTAGAAATTTTCCGAGTAAAGGACACATGGTTGCAACTTAACATATTTGTAAACGCACTGGTCCGAGACAGAGATCGGGCTATTAGAACTAAATAGGACAGTTGGTGAGGCAAATTCTCTGGAACAATGAAAATAGATATTAACCGTGTCAAAATGATAAAACATTTTTTTTGCTCTTTGTAAGGAAATTCTACTACTGGGCACTTGATAACTGAGATCTGAAAGGTACTGGGTTTTATAAGGAAAGTGGGTTATGAATGAGAGTCTTTATGGATTGTGCGTGCTCTTGTTGACTGCTTTGATAGATTTATATGTACACAGTAGTGGTTAAAAATCCAAAACCATATTACCTGCCGGATCTATTTTAGTGCTCATGTACTACGTTAGAAACCTCATAAGTGAAATGGCATGAATGCCCATCTCCCTATTTGCAAGTGGCCTGCCCCTTAGTTTCTGGTTTAACTTTTTCATCTGTCTCATTTTATAACTATAATTCTGTTTCTCCCTTTCAGAATGTTTTCTTTTTCCATCAATCAAGCATTAAAATTTTGTTTTGACAGAAATTTACTGGGAGTACTGATTTTTCCAGCAATTATCTGCAGGTGACTACTGATGTACATTTCCAGAAGGATTTGGGCTTGGATAGCTTGGATAATGTGGAGATTGTGATGGCTCTGGAAGAAGAGTTCAAGCTAGAGATTCCAGACAAGGAAGCCGATAAGATTGACTCTACGAATCTGGCCATTGAATACATCTACAACCATCCAATGGCTGGGTAACTCTCTTTAGCAGCAGCTTTTTCTCTTTACATGAATTGTTCAAACGTATTTTTGTTTTTGCTCGTGACACTTGTAGAAATTGATCACCGTGTTGGTTGAAAATAATTTGCATCTGTCTGAAAAAAGAGTAGTCCTGGAACTAAATTTTATCAATGTCTTTGCAATGCTTCTATTGTAAACAATGACATCTTCTATCCAATCAGTCTGCTGATTGGTTATGTTCCTGCTCAATGCTATTTTTCATTACATGGTGTAGCGTTCTGTATGGTTAACGTGTCTGTGAGTTGAAAGTGTATTATAACCCTCTATACTTGTGGACTTGGTTGATCACAACTTGACAACTTATTTTTTTAAGGATATTAGCTAGGTTACCGGCGGATCACTTTGCTGCTCTTCATATTGGCAAGTTGTGTCCTTGTGGGATCTTATTTTTCCAATCCATAATTCATCGTTGCAAGTATTTGATAACAGTAGAGAGCAGAATGAAGAATGAAGAAGAAAACAGAAGAATGAAGAAGGAAGCAGAGAGCAGAAAACTCAGAATTGTGTATTGATTTTCTTGATTGTTGATTACAATGTAACAATATAGCTTATATATCTAATAACAGTCTTAGAGACTAAGTAACCAAAGCTTTAACAAACTAACAGACTCTTCTAACAACTCTAACTAGAACACATGCCATCCATGTTTTTGAGATTGTTAGAAGAGCACATGGATGGCACGTGTTCTAGTTAGAGTTGTTTGAAGAGTCTGTTAGTTTGTTAAAGCTTTAGTAACTTAGTCTCTAAGACTGTTATTAGATATATAAGCTGTACTGTTACATTGTAATCAACAATCAAGAAAATCAATACACAATTCTGAGTTTTCTGCTCTCTGCTTCCTTCTTCATTCTTCATTCTGCTCTCTACTGTTATCATGGTATCACGAGCTTAGGTTCGATTCTGAGTTCTATTCGCTTCTGCATTCTATTCTCCCCTATTCCTCTGCTTCTTTCTTCTGTCAATCTCAAAAGCTGATATGGACAATATGGTTATCAGTATTATGATGCTGGTGACCAAAACATTGTTAAAATTAAGGGCATGTCTGAGTGTGTGCTTCTACGTTAAGCATTTTGTTCCTTGAAAAGTGCCTGGTCTCCAAGGAACACTGTTTTTTGGTCCGTCTCCAAGATACAACTTCTAACCCCAAAATTCTTTTTTCACTCCAATACTACAAAAGCGTTTTTAATAATCTTGAAGTGCTTATGACAGTGCACAAAGCACTCTCAAACTTTTATGTGGATACAGGAAATTTGACAAAGATTTATAATACTATCTTTCCATGCGTATATTAGAAGATACAGTTTGTGATATGATCAAGTTGCTAAGTATAGTTCGTATGAAACTTTGCTGTTTGTGATTTTGTGTTGGCATGTGCCCTAACATCTTTAAATATATTGCTTTTGCAATATTTCCCACTTATTTCATTCTTGTGGGCAACTGGTCTTGTGGAAGTTGGATCTCATTGCAATGCTTGAATGGTTTTGCCACTTACCTGTACATAATAAGATTGCTTGTAGTTGGATTGAATCTTAGGATTTCATTCTTGTGGGCAAATGGTCTTGTGGAACCTGGATCCCATTACAATGCTTGAAAAGTCTGCCACATATCACTGCTTATTTATATCACTAAACTAAGAACTAATTGGTCACTAATTGATCACGATGCATTAAATTTGGAAAAAAGAAAACTGCATTTCACATATTTTGTGTGTGTGATAACGTTAGGCATCAAATCATCTTTTGCTTAAGTTGCGACCTTTTCAGCCAATGATTGCATGTATTCTTATCATAATGCTGGAATATTATGGAAGGCTATCTTGTTTAGCATTAACGTCTAAGACATCAACCAAAATAACTCTCTCTCGAAGTTACTCCAAAACACTTACTTGCAATGACTTGTCCTCCCGAAAAGATATATCAATTAATTAATTAATTTGTTGGATTCAGAAAGGAAAATTGAATTACAAACTACGAACTTAATTCTCCAAATTTTGTTGCCAAAGTTAGGAAGGGGAATGGGGGAAATTCACACACCCGAGTACTATGGAGTCTTGAACCGTTGTGTTACTTGAATCCAATTAGCCTCTAAGTTTTTTTTACTATTCGACCGAAGAAAAAGGAAAAAATGTATATTTCATTGGCAATCCATGACTTTCAATTTTCAGTTTTGACCACCCTACTTCTTGGCCTTTGAAAGAGTGCAACATGAAAAGTATTATAGAGGTGGAATTCTTGTCCTTGCAGCCTTGCAGGTTTTTTTTCTTCTTTTCTTTTTGCTTTATTCTGGTAGTCTTTTCGTGTTAAGTTTTGGCCTTGTATTTTTATTGATCAACAGATAAAACAGCAGCCACTAAAGTTGTAATTATTATAAAATATTTTTGGGTGAGTATTTATTTAGCCCATATTGTGATATCGGGGTTAATTTGGTCACGTTGCCTTGGAAAGCTATTACGACCTTAACTGCTAATAGGCCATATTGTTTTGTCATATAACAACCAAAGCACACATAAAAGTAGAATTCTTGCATCCACATCCAACATTTCATTGACGACGCAATCTACTAATTAGTTAAGAGAGGAGCACTAATGTGTACAAGGCTCCACCACATACTTTTATCAGATTTGTTTCCTTTCTTTTTTCGACTTTTTGGGAGTAGATTCAAATGGGATCTCTTCTTACATATATGCGTACATATAATTGTTAGCTACTAATGTAATGAAACAGATATAGATCAACGTCTAATAGTCATCCACACGTTTTGTTAACATGCATTCATCCTTAGCTGCAAAGTTGAAGCCTCAATTTGTTGCAAACATAAGTTCTTTATAAACTTGGAGCTACGTTTTATGAAGAACAAAACCGTGGTAAGGGAGTAAGCACACAACCGTGATCAACTGGCCCTAACATACCATTTCACAAACAAATTTCTTGTCCCTAACATTAAGTACTTGTGGTTTTCTGTAATACCAATATGAACTTTTAGTTGATCAATTACTTCTCTGTCATTAAATATTTTATTATTATAAATAATAGTAGGATTAATTGGAAGTTACTCTTTCTTGATGTTAGCTTCAAAGCTCACCATTAGCAACAATTCCCTAATTATCATATCTTCATCAATTAGATTTCTGGTTACAGCTAAGCGGAATTCAGATTAAAAAAAACTTGCAAATAACAACAACCAGACAATGAAACAAAACAGCCTAAGGACTAGTCTCAAACAACGAATGAACATGAAACCTATGCATCGTAGAAACCAAACCAAACCACTCCAAATATACAATAAATAAGTAGAAATTTCATTTTATTCATGAACAAAAGACAGCTAGCTAGCCACCATGCAAATACCTTCTTATTTATATTAATTTAAATCCTAATGAACCAAGCATGTCGATAATAGAAAGAGCTACGGCAGAAAGCTGAACAGCATCGTTGTTTCTCTTGGTCAATGGCGAAACCAACCCTTCTCTTTCATGGAAACCATCTTCACAAGTTACAGGGGCATCATACACTGCAGTCACTCGTACATTGGCATCTCGATACTGCTTAGCCTTGTAAGATCTGAGAGCTTGCTTGATGTCTGGTATGGCGTCTGAATAAAGCTCCAAGCAGACTTCCAAATAGGCCCTTAAGAATTTCTCTAGTTTCGTGTTCTTCAGAAGGTGTTTGATGTGTTGCCTTGTGCTGGTCATGTTATGGCGGATTAAGTTCATGGAGATTATGCCAAGTTGGCGAACATCGGCGCTGCGGCTTTTCGGGGCGGCTTGGAGAGAAGTTACGCAGAATTTGTAGCTTAGGTTTGGATCATCTTGAGCACATTTTTTGCAGGTTTCAGGGATGAGGTTTTTGGCAGTTATGGCTTTCAAGGTGAAGAAGAAGAAGAAGAAGAGGAGGAAGAGAGGGAGGGATGTGAGAGAGAATGTGGAAGTTCTCATTTTTTTGTGTTGTGGGGGATTGAGAGCTATATTTTCTTTGATGGGTATTTATCGGTAGTGTGGCTAAGTCTTTATGATTTTTTATTATTATTTTATTTTTTATATATAATGAAAATAGTTAAATTGCAAAGTAAATTTGAGGATATCAAATATAATTTTAATGGGCACATTACAAGGATAATTTGAAAACCAAACGTAAAGTTGAGTACAGTTATTTGCTTCTCGATACAGATATTGGACTTTTGAACTTCCGGGTTGATGAAGAAGACTTCAAATGTTTTAACCTGCTATCAAATTCTCCAAGGCATACTGTTCATGAAAGACCATGCTTAAGAACTGCAATTTTCGATTGAAAAACTACAAATATAACCAATTGGAAAAGTGCCACCAATTTTCACATTTACTATAAAGTGATCCCTGCAACAATGTTCCAACAAATTTAAAATTTTGTTTTCCAGATTAACGAAAAGCAGGTAAAGTTGAACAATTTGTCAATAACCAATCACATAATTTAGATTTTGGCGGTTCTGAAATTGTGGAGAGGAATGTTGCACACTTGGATTGAAATTATTTACTTCAAAAAGTGAATAAATAAGATTAGGCTTATTATCACAAAAGGTCCCTAAGGTTTACGAAACTATCAGATTGCATCCTTAATGTTTTTTTGTGTCACTTATGGTCCTCAAGGTTAGTATGTGTGATCACAAATGGTCCTTGCCGTTAGGTTCCGTCAAAAACTCCGTTAGTTTGCTGACGTGGCATATATACATATCACAAAACATCCCTGAGGTTAACACATCTATCACAAATGGTCCCTGCAAATTTTTTTAATTTTTTAATTTAAAATTCATAAAATTTTGTTTTTGTTTTTTATAATATTTAAAAATATATATTGTATTTTAAATACATATGATACTATATTTTTGAAGATGAGGGCTCCACATATATGCCACACCAACAAACTAATGAAGTTTTTTTAAAAAAATAATCTAAAATTCAAAAAATTTAAAAATGAAAAAACCATTTATATAAGGATTTTAACCTTGAGGACCATTTATAAACCCTAAACCCTTGATTTTTTTCATTTTTAAATTTTATGAATTTTAAATTAATTTTTAAAAACTCCATTAATTTGTTGATGTGGCATATATGTGGAACCCACATCTAAAATAATATAGTGTCATGTGTATTTAAAATACAATGTATATTTTAAAATAATTTAAAATTCATAAAATTTAAAAAATAAAATCAAAATTTTATGAATTTTAAATTTAAAAAATTTGCAGGGACCATTTGTGATAGGTGTGTAAACCTCAGGGATGTTTTGTGATATATATATATAT